ATAGCTATAAATATTTATTTTATGCTTGGATTTATGGTTGTTAAAATGATAGGCAAGGACTGCAGAGTATGCCAAAGTAAAAAGTTACTGTTTTCAGAGCAAAGAGGAATTAGAAAATACTGAAGGTATTTTAACAGTCTGGCTGTCACGTGGGTCTCCACCTTAAGAAGAAGGTAAAACTTCCGTCTTTCCTTCTTGCACAAATATTTAGGTGTCTGCAAATCACTTGCCACTAAAATCAGAGATCGATTTTGTTGATGAAAAAGAGAGGGTCTGGAGAGATGGCTAGCAGTTAAGAACTCATGCAGAGGACTCTCGCTTAGTTCCAAACACCCAGGCTGTGCAGCTCACAGCTTCCTGTAACTCCATCTCCAAGAGGATCCAACATCTTTACCTCCGCAAATACCTCTACCAATGCATGTGCACCTGCACACAGACCCAGACACACACATAATTTAAAAGAATACGATAGATTCTTCTTTCAAAATCGAAACAAGTGGGATAAGACTAAGAGAACAACTTGAAAAGCATCATCTATTTTAATTAATTCCTGTAGAATCAAAACATTTGTTTTGAAAATCCTCTCCATCAGAAAAATGCTAAAAGAAACTTTAAATTTCTAAGCAGTGACTAAAGTGATTACAAAGAACAGTTGACAACATCAAATAAACTTTAAGTTTAAAACGAGAAAGCTAATGAGCAAGAAAACAGTGGAAACCCCATTAGTGTATGGTTTTTAAAAGTTAAACAATCAAGAAATATTGCAAACAATGAGTTAATAGCCTTAAAATTTTAGTTACAAAAATTCCTCAGCAAACATTGGAGCTTCCCAACTAGACATACCCAAGCGCATCCTCACATGCGCCATTTCCTGCCCTCACTCTAGTGCAGCAGATAATTAGCAGTAAATAACAGCAACAAAACAAGAAACAATAAAACAGACCAAAAATGAGTGAGTGCCATCATACTGAAACAATTATTAAAGACGCTACTCGGCGGGAGTGATGTTTTTATCAAAACAAACTCTCCAGCATTTTGTTCCTGAAGTATAATTATCTGTTAACATTTAAATGGCAACCGACAGCCTAAGAGCCTTCTTTAGGAACACTAAATCAGTTACAGTTATTCTGTCCTCATGAATCAACCCTCAGTTAAATGAAGGCTTCGTGCTGATTGTCAGCACTCGGAGAGCACTGCCTTGGGCCCCAAATATCCATGCTTCACAAAGAAAAGGGCAATGCTGCCTGCAAATAGCGGAAGAAATGCAATTCAGGCATGGGAGCTATGGACCATCAGCCCTCTCCATGATCACTCAGTGCAGACTCGTCCAACCCAAGAGAAGCATCAAATTATATGGTAGAGTCTTCTCATGATAGAATATTATATACACATTAAAGTTGAGTTTATTAACAATAGCATGCATATTGTAATAAGTGAAAAGTTCCAGTCAAAACTGCATGGCTCTGCTGCTTTAGCTCTACAGATTGCTCATGGGAAGCATCCTAAAGGTGAGCATTAACTACCAGCAGTAGTGAACTCTCCCGTGGGCATTATTGGGGTCTGTCCCTTTAAAGCATATATCCCATCATCATTATTCACTACATTAAACTATCTTGTTCATTTAAATTAAAAATATCTGTAAAATACAAATTGCTTAAGGTCCACAAGATGGTTCAATGGATGAAATCACTTCCTAACAAGGCTCACAACCTCTTCTTGATTCCCAGGACCCACATGGTAGGGAGAGAGGAAACTGTTTCCTACAAACTGTTTTCTGACTTACACACACATACACACACACACGACAACTAACTAAATAGTTAAATAAATGTTACAAAAATATTTTTAAGTCTACAAACAACTCAACTGTAGAGATAACATATCCCCAGTACAACTAGGTATAGTCCGGAAGACTTTACTCGATACACGAACTGAGGGTGGAGATTATATGAACATAAACACATCTCTAAGATAAAGACAAGTAAACTAATTAGCATATTGCAATTTACTTTTCCCAGTTAGTAAGATGTCGTAGACAGATATTTTATTTCTATCGTCAGAATTTCAGGATTTAACCATGGCTACTAAAGTGAACGGCACATTTCCGCACGTGCGCTGAAAGAATCCAGGAGGGAGTGGCTCCTTGGCGAAGGCATGTCTGCAAAAGTTGTTACATCAGGGATTAAGGATGAGTGAGTTAATGAACAGAAAATAATAGAACATGACTTAAACTCCTCCAAAAAGCAGAGTAACTGAGCTTCCAGTAACACACTGTGGACAAGCATGGCTTGAGGTCGTAAGGCACATTTTAAAGGAGAAATAGTCCTTTGAAATTCTCCCTTAGGTTTGGAGATTGCAAAGTTGCATTTCTTTTCTTCCCTGCTCCCTCCCAGCCCTCTTCTGTATCCCTCCTTGCTCTCCTTCAAACTCATGGCTCCAATTTTCACTGATTGTCATTACATGCAAAATATGTCTATTCCAAAGACACAAACAAAACCTACTCCATTTGGATGATCTTACTTATATGCATGTGTAAATAATTTAAGAAATAAAACAAACTAAAAACAAAAACCAAACAGAACCATCTATTTGGATGCAAGTGTAGAGAGGATTGCCAAGATATTTCTTGTTTTAAAATACATGACTCCTGTAGACACCTGTCGTTGATCTTAAAAAATAAGTGCAGTTGACAGATTAATATAATTACCTGGCAGCCAAAAATACTGCACACTAGTTCTACACGTATGTCTAGTGGTGTGAACAGAGTACATGGTTGAAATGTCATGAACATGGTTAATTAGGAAATGGTACAGAACTTACTGTGTAAATGAGTTACACATGCCAGATGTGTAACACAGCATGTTGAGTGAGTAATGTTTCTGAGGTCTTACTGTGAGTAAAGTTACGGTTGAGGTGCCAAAATTTAGCCGAGTAATCTTGGGGTATATAGACTATGTAAAAGGATGAAGCCCCAGATGTCTACCCAGGTTTTGCAGGCACAGCAAGGCTTCATTAAATTTTGTGATAAAATTCTATACACCCACACTAAGTTTTGTTAAGGGACTTAATGGTGACTGATACGTCCTCATTCTGTCTGTGATGAGAGCTTGAAGCACTCCAGACAACACATAGATCAGAGCTCAGCAAGCTAGAGCCTTGGGGACCACATCTAGCCTCCTTCCTGCCTTTGTAAATAAAGATTTATTGGAACATGGTCAGTCTCATTCATTCATTTATTGCCTGTGGCTACTGTCACATTGTGATTGTCGAGTTGAGAAGACGTAGCTGAGAATCTAAGACCTATAGATACTAACATGCTTTACCCTACTTCTTCAAAACAGGTTTGTCAATCTCTAATCTCGAATTACGCTCGAAAAATCGACTCATCGATACTTATTTTCTTCTTTCCTCTGAGATCCCTGGTATTTCCATAACAACAACACCAAAATAATATTAGTGCATGTCTGTCCTTATTCTAGATTGGCATGCCCGAAGCTCTGTTGGAGTCCAGTGTTATTCTAGATTGGCATGCCCGAAGCTCAGTTGGAGTCCAGTGTTGGGGCTGAGAGTCCTCAGTCAAACCCTCTCCCTATTTCTGACACCTTAGGTAAACTTCTGACTCTTTGGGGGCCTCAGTTTAGGCATCTTTAAAGTAAGGACCATGAAAGCACCTCACTCAGAGAGTGGGAGCAAGAGTTGAAGTCTTTCCTTCAGCACAGGGCCCAGTAACCCATGAAACCTGCATGAGCCAATAATTTCCTTCCTGTAATGTACCAGTCCCAGCACATCCAAATCCCAGCTACACAAACTCTATGACATCTCAGTGGCTCTCTTGATGGCTCTACCCAGCTCTCAGGCTCCACAGAGGAGAGACTGAGATGCCAGGTGCTGGAGTGAGTTGTACTTCAGACACCATGCGAATCTGAATTCATGTAGACTACAGGAAGACACAAAACCCAGCTCCTCAGCTTGTCCTTCCGTGAGATGTAGGGATTGTAGATTATATTCATAGGGGTTGGAGAGTCTATATTCTCGGGCAAGCCCTTCTGCATACCTTCAAGCTGAACTCTTAAAATCAGTTTACTAACCATGCAGATATAAGGCAAGTGGGAACTGGCAACATCGTCCCATAACTGTGACAGTCAACAAGTGCACAGAATGTAAGCATATATGCATGTATGTATGTATGTTTGTTTGTATGCCATTGGCAATTCTTTTCATTAGAAAGCAGAATGAAGTTGTCCACAATGAGACTTAACTCGGTTGAGAAATAATTTAATAAAGCAGATGTCTCCAGTGACTAGTGTATATAGGGAAGGTCCTTCTCTCTCCTCCCTCTCTCTCTCTCTCTCTCTCTCTCTCTTTCTCTCTCTCTCTACTCTTACCCCCTTTCCCTTCCCTCCCTCTCCTCCTCCTTCTGAAAGGTGGCCACAGGTATCACAGGAGAGGTTTCCACCCAGGTCTGAGACACTTACAATGAGTTCCCCCAAAGGTAGGACATGAAGCTGGATTTTAAAGGCTCAACAAGAAGGACTAGTGAGTGGAGGTTGAGTTCTGGAGGGCAAGATGCTGGTCTCCATGCTACCAAAGGGCTTCAGGGATCAGGACAATAGTAAAAGACTAGATGAAGCAGATCCTTAGGGACACCATGCAGATTTGTGGCCTTTCTCAGAAGGCACAGGACGCCTCAGGAAGTCCTGCAATTGGAAAGTGAGACGACAGTGGGACAAGCCACAAAATAAGCCAGACACAGCACAGATCCAAAATTAAAACCTGGTAGGCAGTCACACTGTGACTAGAAGGCGCCGTGAGTCACCAGTGTGCTTCCTGGCCTTGCGGTTCCCAAGTGACTTCACAGTACAGTCAGACCCAAATAGCTTGACCTTAAAAAAAAATTCTCCTTCTCAAAGCTGTCATTTACTACCATTTTTAACAGAGACGTCCGTCTAAATGTGTAGCATTCTTGGTCTCCGCACTTCCCACTCAAGTGTCTCACCTACCGAGGAGAGAGAGGGTAGAGCCACGTGTCCTCCGTCATAAATCACACTGAACTGGACAGCCACATGGGCATCCACGCCGAGTTTTCACACACCAGACCTTCAACAAAGAAAAAAGAGAGAGAGAGGCAAGTGAGCTTATCTGAACACACTGCAGTCTTGACTTACAAAGGCTTGGAAGTTCTGGCAATGCCCTAACAACCAGAACAAGAATCTCAAGCAAGGGCAGGAGAAAGAGACACGATACAATTCAGTAACCACCATTATAAGAGACCTAAATTAGCATTAGAGACACCACCGGGCTTTCTTCTTGAAAAAAAAGAAAAAGATACACTTAAAACATAATGCTGATTGTTTTCTTCCATGATTTATTTCAGTTTGAATTCTTTGGGGGTGGGATGTGTGTTCAAGTGAGTGTGGGAGCCCACAGGCCAGAGGCCTCAGATTCCCTGGAGCTAGAATGACAGGCAATTGTGAACTTCCTGTTATGTAAGCTGGGAACCAAAGGCAGGTCCTTTGCAAGAGCAGTACACTCTCTTAAGTTCTGAGCCATCTCTCCAGCCTGAGAAAGTAAAATTTTAGTGTGATTCAACATGTGAAAAAAAAAATCTCATAAACCATCCTAAGGGGCCATTATTTCAAAGTCACTGGAATGACTTTAAGCATTTGCAAGTAAAAATAATGGCTCCTTCATTGCAAATCTTAGATGTAAGTCCCTAGAGTAAAGGGCTTCACAAGGTGGTAAAGGTCGGTGCAGCATGCACCACACCTGAGTCTGAGTTTGCACTGCTACACATCCACGTGTTCCTGCACACTTATAAGATTTAATAAGAAATTTGTCCAGTATCACAAAATCAATTCACTTCACCAAAATCCAGAAAATCTATTGTGTTGCCTCATAAATTTATTCTATTAAGTCAGGAAAACTATATTGCAATGCCAAACATGTACACAAGAGCTTGAAGTAGGCGACTCCTTACTGGCTATCTAGACAGAAGGGGCTCTGCTCTCGGGGAAGGACATCTGTGCCTTCCAGTGTGCTGAACACCAGCTCCTGCCCTTCAGTTTTCCTTGTTTCTCACGGCTTCTTTTTTTTCTATTCCCGGTTTCTGGCTATTGTACATGGGAAGCACACTGGTGTTCTCTATCCTCACCCACACATTAGAGAGCAACAGTGAATGATGATGAGAAAATGGGAAGGCCTTCCAGAACATTCTGCAACTCTTCTAATCCATGAGCCCCATGTGGCCCATGTCAATAATGATCAAAAACCAACCAGTCTCCATAAAATAGCGCACATTTTAATAGCCCTGCTGGAAGTGTACAAATGTAATCCACTAAAATGTCTTTAGGGGCAGCCTGGGTTTCTAGGGACAGAGAACAGGGGAACACCATGATAATGCCATTTAATGAGGCTTCCTGCTTCTAGGAGAGGACTATGGAGAGTACAGAGAATTCAAAGAAGCAAGGAAGTGACTCAAGGCCGCATTTGGAAGCACTTGTCATGAAGACTCCAGAGCGGCCCAGGTGCAACCCTGCTTTGCAGCATTGCCAACTCCATGGCCTCACTGCGGTCTTCATGACCAGTGACATCATCCGTTGGAAGGGATAAGGTACAGATGCAACTCTTTGAGGCCAGAAGGAAGGTCAGGGAGTTTTCCCCAAGGTAAAGAGGCATGCCCAGTCCAGGAAATAATGTAAAACAGTCCACTTATTTTTCTCTCCTCACCAATAATATCTCCTCTGGGTGTGGCAACAAAACGTTGATTAGGATGTTATATTAAACAGCATGTGGATACAGGAGTTGTTCCTCGTGAGCCCTACAATCTTCTTTATAACCATCACTACTAAAATTCCCCCGCATGTGCTTGTTTAGATCCTAGCATAGGTTTAACTAACAGAATTGAAGAGCTCCACTGCTTCCCACTCTGGCTCTGTGACTTTGTTTAGTAATTACAAGACAGCCCTTAAGATTGAAATGAAAAATACATGATGGATAAAGATTTAGTTCAGTAGTAGAATGTTGTCTAGCAAGCATATGATCCTGAGTTCTGTCCCCAACTCTGGAAGGAAACAAACAAACAAACAAACAAAATATTACATCACAGTCTTTCTATTCCCACGAACCTCCATGAGTTCAAGGCCAGCTTGATCTACAGAGCTAGTTCCAGGACAGCTAAAGCTATGCAAAGAAACCCTGTCCTTTTGTTTTGTTTTTTGTTTTTCAAGACAGGGTTTCTCTGTAGCTTTGGAGACTGTCCTGTAACTAGCTCTTGTAGACCAGGCTGGCCTTGAACTCACAGAGATCTGCCTGCCTTTGCCTCTGCCTTTGCCACCTGAGTGTTGGGATTAAAGGCAAGCGCCACCACTGCCCAGCCTGTCTTGATAAACCAATGTCTCCATATGATGGCCCTCCAATTCTCCCTAAGGGAGGTCACAGGTAAGCTGATGTAGAGCCTTGACTGAACTTAGAAATAACATTCTCAGAACAAAACATTCTGGTAATTGACAAAGAAGATGAAGCAAAAAAGAACACGTTAAGAACTGAGGGCTTGTGGTACAAACAGAGTAAATAATGCAGAAGAGAACATTCCTCCTTAACACAAACAGGGACAGTAATAGCCAGGACAGCCAGATGGTCGCAGAACAACTCTTCCTGTAAAACCTGCCTCTTTCCCCTTGAATAGCCAACTGTGATGTACAGACCACCTGTGGTTGAGGAAAACACAAGCCCCTTCAGAACCTATATCCGAACAGAAAGACCAGCATGAGGACTGGGGTACACCTCAAAGCCTTCTGACTGGGCCTGTGTTGGCAGCAACAGTGAGGCGGATATCCACTAGCTTCATGCCTGTCGGCTAAGCTAGCAACAGCTAGACCCTTCTCCAGAAGCACAGCCCCTACCCAACTAGGCCTTGAAGCATTTAGGGAGCTTATGCAGTTCAAAGGAACACCTGCGTGGGCCAAGGTGCATGAGCTCAGGTGCAACTAGTGCCGTGACATGTCAAGCTCCTAGCAGGAGCCACATTATAGGAACAGTCCTCCAGATGGAGAAGCCCGGCTGGCTTATGGGACATGGGCACAGTGAAGACATAAGTCACAGATTACTCAGTGATGCCCTAGGAAACTGAAGGAGTCGAAAATAAAGAGGCTGTACTGTCCCAGAGGCAAGCCCGCCTCATTTGGTGTCGTCAGTACCCCATTTGTCTCGATTTCCCGAGGACGTCCCTCTTTTCTCATTTTACGTGGTATCGACCTTGATACAATCTCTGAAGCTGAACAGAACAACTACGGGGAGAAAAAAAAAATCTACCTCTAGGAATATAAGAGCAGAATTATCACTAGATCTCTTGTAGATGCACAAACAACTGTCCCCAGAAGATTCATCGCATAGCTTCCTCCATGTGTTCTGAAGGAATCTCCAATGGAGATGATGAGATGAAATGCAAGCATCAATTACAGCCGACTAAGTGCCCGTCAGCACACGGCTTTGAACACAAATATGCTCTAGTCTCTCCGACCACCCTGCTCAGCGTGGGTGGGGTGGTGTGGATTTATACATTCTTGTGGAGGCCAAAGTTCAGCTAAGCAGCAGCCTTTACTCTACAAATACAAGAAATAAATTCAGATTTTAGACCGAGTTCGACTTGGAGTTTTCAGAAGACTAAAATCACACCGGAAATCAAATGGAAATGGAAGCCAAATGAAAATAGACAGACTTTCCACCTAGTATCATAATGGCTAAAAGAAACGCTCCCAGATGGAGGCTTAATAAACCAAGAAACGGTCAGGCTAGGACTTCCCAACCTGGGAGATGGGAGCAGTGGCAATGTCTTGTCATCAGTGGGTAGGTCCCATAGCAACTGTGTACAGCACTTCCTGGTGGCAGTGTACAGGAAGGAGCTAGAACACAGTTCAGGAAGGATCCGTGCTCTCAGAAGAGCACAGCAAACACCCTACGACTCTACTGTTACATAATTCAATAAACACTATGAAACTGGAGGGAAGCAGAGGTAACTGTGGATGAAACAGTCAAGAAAAGTCACCCAGTGGGGGAAACGACAGGTGACAATGGTGTCAACTGGAATAGGAAGAGGTCAGAATATGGAAAGAAGATGAAGTACGTCCGACTGGATAAATTACAGGCAGAGCACACAGCGAGCCCATCAGTCACGCCTGGGACTCATCAGCAGTGAGTCAAGAGCCACTGCAGTCAACACATGCCGAGTCGGAGCGTGAGTGTATGGTACCGTTGCTTGCTCCTGGTGTATTGACAAACTCCTGCATAGGGCCATCACAGAAAGGACCCCACAAGAATCCATGAGGACCAGGCATGGCTGAAGAAAGCAATTCTGCTAGGAAGGAAAATTAGCATGGCAGGGACCTAGGAACCCTAGCAGAAATGTGGCCTTTTTTTACCAAGTTTTCATGGGCAACGAGAAAAGCGGACGAAGAATCTCCTAGAAGAGGCTAAGGAACAGGGAGGGACAGTCCCCGAAATGTTGGGGCATCAGAGCAGTGGCAGGCAGAGGAGTGTGTCCCCACATTCATGACAAAATGACCACCACACATGTCCACCCTAGATACCAACCGATGGGAAAGGCAGGTGGCAAAGAGGCAGAATACAGAGGATATTAACAGCAGAAAGAAACAAGACTTAAGGCAAAGGAGAGGAAAGGAGCTGGGGTTCGGTGGAATGTCAGGCTAAGAGGGTTTTAAAAGTATCAACATGGCTGTTCTGCAGAGGACCGGAAAGGGAAGCACGAGGCAGGCCCGAGGCCAAACAGAGACCTTTCCTTACTAGAAGATATAAAAAAAATTGTTAACGTTGTAAATTGCAGAGAAAAGTCTGGCCCTAATCAGCTCCTGGGAGGTACACTTTAGTCTTTTTGGGTGTTCTGCCTCATAGTATCCCTTTGAATTTCATGATACTGTAATGATAGACTATGCTAACAATGGGTCTACGGTGTGGGCTTTGAGCCACACATCACGGGTCTGACTTCAGTACGGGTTGTGGACTAGGGTCAAACACATAGGCAGTCAGGCATACTTACCTGAGCCATTCCCAGTAAAACCCTGGAAAGGAAGAACAGGGGTTTG